CTCGGAGGGGCGTGTGGGGAGCGCGGGGTGAGCCCGGGTGGGACGGGGAGCGGGCGGGGCACGGGAGGGCTCTGCGCTGCTTTTCCCTCGGTCACACGGAACTCTGGAGCCGCAGCTTTCACCGAGGGAGCGGGACGGGGAAAGTGAATTAAAAACTTCTGCCGCTGCTGTGTGCAGGGCGGTGGGATGGAGCGCGGCTGGGTGCGCGGCCCGCGGAGTTCCCGGTGGGCTGCGCACAGCGGGGCTGGTACCCGGGCGCTGCCGCAAAGGAGGCGGAGCGGGGCCCTCGCCCAGGGGATGGCGGGGCTGGGAGCGCCCCAAAGCAGAGCGGCCCCGTGTCAGCGCTGAAGAGAAACAAAACGAGCGCGGTTGGCCTTAGAGGGACACTGACATAGCCGGGCACACGTATAAGTCCCTTTCCTTTCGTTGTTACCGGCACTTTTTGTACCTGCTAAACAGCCGCAGTCTGCAGCCCTTGGTCGTGTTGCTCGCACCTAAAACTCTTTATGCAACGTGGATTGAGCTCCTGGTTCTCTAGTGGTCTCAGTGTTTAAACTCTCCATGGAAACATCAAAGGATGAGTAACATGGCATTTAACTCAATGTTATACTTCTACAGGAGCAAATCGGAAGATGAGAATAATTTTGCCAGAGTGACTTCTAGGCAGTCACAAACTCCCCCCACTTGGTGAAACAAATGTGTTTGGAGCCTCAGAAGTTGTTTTATATAAAGCTGTGTCTCTGGCAGTGTCTCTCTTGATACTGTAAACAAGGAATTCCATCAGGAAATGAAAATGAGAATTTTCTCTTAGTGTTTTGAAGCACATTTGGTTTTCCTCTGTTAGCAGCAGAAAGGTTATCTGTATTCCAATCTGGTCAAAATCGTCTATCTTAATCTGAAAAAATAAAAAATTAACTCACAGGATACAACTTCAGACTACAATCATAGGCTACAACTTTGCTACAGTCAAGAGCGTTAAAACTACTTATCACCTTGTAAGTTCCAACTGCAATTCAAACCCTGGGTGCTCTTTTAGGTCATATTTTTTCAATTTTTTAAGTGTTATTTTTTCAATTCCTTTTAAATGTTAACACAGTCTGAAAATAAGTGTTTCCAAATTCCATCACTGAAGTTTTCAGAAAAAAAAGAATAGATGCTTGTACAGACGGGAAATCTCAGAAGAGTCAGCCTCTCACACTCTTTCCATCAGAATGAATTTGTATTTCTCCTCTAATTTAAGAAAAAACAGAGGATAAAACAGAAATGTGAAAAAAATTAAATATATTGTAAAATATATACTATAAAAATAACATTATATCATAATATTGCAAAATTAATTGTAAAGGAAATTAGAATAAAAGGGTGGCAAAGATGGCAAAAAAGCCATCTGATGCCTTAGAGCTGTTTGTCCCTTGTCTTGTGTTCTTCCCTGCCACTTACTCAAGCATTTCTGTATCACTAATCACAAAGATCTAAATACTTTCAGGCTCAGCACTGCATGATTTCTGTCATTTACTTCTTCCCACTTAATGTTCCAAAGACATAGGAAATAAGATTGCTTGCTTGGCTTTTAAATAACCTTGTCAAAGGTGTTTGAAGTCATATATTAGCAGATCTGAATCTGGAATGAAAGAATTTATGGCCAATGCACTCTTTTAAGTTGTATATCTGTTTATCTGATCCTCACTTACAAGTGCCTCTAATTAAGCTATAAACTCCTAGTTTCTACTTAACCATATGGGTAGCCTGGGAAGTTTGCTACAGTAATGTAATTTACCCATTCCACGGCCACGTCTGCAATGCAAATCCATCATGGCTGTTTAGAAAGTGCTATTACCTGCTCTGTTTTTCAGTACATGGAAATAAAGCATGTCCAAGTTACCAACTGTAATCCTGAAACAGTTTTCCTACAGACAGTTTTCTCTTTAGACCTGCAGGACTTTGTGTCCAAGAGAAAACACACCTACTGCAAACAGTAGGAAAGATTAAAAAATTGCAACCTGCAAATGCAATTAGGAAGGGAAAATAATATTTCCATCTTTTTTTTTTTTTTTTTTTTCACTCTCTGTGGGAGCTATTTGGCTTTTTTGTGCTTTTGCTGCCTTCTCAGGTGCTGTTCACAGATTTTAATTGTATGCACTTTTCATTCACTTGAAGTGCGGATAATTTGAGAATGGGGTCTTGTCTGCCGCTGGAGTAGGTTGCAAGATGGTATAAGGAAAGCTTACACATTAAAAAGGCCCAGAATATCTATTTATATATCTTAAAATTCTGTTAAATATTTCAAAAATATCTATGCAATAAAAAAACATAAGCTGCTGACGAGCAAGTTTAAAGGAGGCTTGAGTTCCACCTTTGGTACTGTAATATAGTAGAAACCCCAAATTCCATGAGACTGTTGCCCACTTTATGATAAATGTTTTCTAAAATATGTTCTAAATTTAGAATTTTTCTGTGAAAAGTATTGCTGGCAGTTGTCATTAATTTCATGTGAGGAATGCAGTTTTTGGCCCACTTGCAGGAGGTCAAAATATAAAAATGTGAGGTATGAGACATTTTTCTGTGATTTTAAGTAGGAGGAAAGTCTCTGTTCAGATTCATACAGGTACCCTGGAAGAAAATGCCTAGAGCAATCCATCAGACCTTCTTTTCCATTCCTACCTCTTCCAGTGAATGCTTCAAATATTTCTTATTATCTTTAAAGTATCCCATGATTACGTTTGGAAACTGTACATACAGAGTTGCAGCTGCAACTGCAGGTAAGCAAACAAGAGTAGCTCCTTGTGTTAGAAACATGTAATCCAGCACTGGTGTAGCTTTGAGGCTGGGCTGGAGGAGGTGGCTGGACCAGGCAGCCCTCATAGGTGCCTTCCAACCCTGATCCTGTGATCAGAGCTGTTGGATTCAGCCAATACAGGTCTGACTATGTTGTTTGATTACCAAAGTAATTTAAGTATGGGGAATAGAAAAAGGGCATGCCCAGAGATGGAGAGTTTTGAGTGAAACATAGCAGTCTTTACACTGACTTTTGGCCACCCCACAGATGTCTGTGATGGGTT